CCATGGGCCAGGAAGCACAAGTGCAGGCAGGACAGGTCACTTGTTGCAATGCACCAGCTCCAGTGACACAACCCAGAGCCCTTCAGTGACACCCAGCCCAATGCAGAGTCGCATCCACCACCACATCCCTAACAGGGGCCAGCCTGGACACGGGCTGCTCCATCTGTAACAATCAGGAAGGGGTCCGACACCCCAGGCTGTCCCTGGGCTCCACACACCCTCAGGGAGGGAGCTGGCTGCGCACCCAGATGAGAAGCAGCAAGAAGGCCAAGGATCACAGGCTGCAGGAGATGGATCCCTGTTGCATGGGGAAGAGGGTGGGGAGCTCATCCAGGATGAACCCTGCTCCCCCAAGCCCAGCCCCTTCCCTTCGTGGGCTCAAACAAGGCAAGGCTGGTCCAGACGAACCACAGACAGGACTCAAGCTGGGAGCCAGGACGAAGCTGCCACAGCGGGACGAGCTCCGGGCACCCACATAACAGACACCAGCCAGGGCAGCGGGACAACGCAACCAGGCACCAGCCTGGGCACTACACCCTTCCGGGGCACAGCAAGACACCGCAGGGCCACCAAGACAGACGGTGACTCAGCAGCTGAGTCACGGCTGAGCCAGCACCCAGGGCCAGGCCTGAGTCACAAGTGCCCAGAGCACTGATACTGACTGGAAGCTGCAGCCACGCTCCCAGGGACCCGCCGGCACAGAGACACCGGCTCTAAAACCCAGTGCTCCATTTTGCCTGGAAAGCTCCCCACGCCCGACAGGCTCTGTGGTGGCAGCACGGCCAGGCAGAAGCAGGCACACGGGGCAGCAGCTGCTGTGAAGGGAAAGCAGCAGTAACGGGGTCTCAAGGAGCGAGCGCAGCCTGGGAATCTGTCAGGAGGATCCTGGCGGGATGAGCAGGGGACAGGGCAGGGCCGTCCAGAGGCTGAGGCTGCCTCAGTGCTTGGGAATGTTACCTCTCAAGCTGAGCCTGGGAACGGCCCCGCAAAGGAGCGCGTCGGGAGCTGGGGCTGCTCTGTTTGTTCAATACGTTAAAATCCAATCAGGGCATTATTCATAGAAGGAGGAATCCAGATCCCGGCGCTGCCAAGCCCTCCCTTTCAGCAGCATCCAAGCCGAACAAAGTGGAACGGGGGAGAGGAAATGCCTGGAAATAAGGCGCAGACGGGAGGTGACCGAGCCCGGCGCTGGCTCTGCCGGGCCGGTGCCGGGCCCCGGCGGCTCCCCGCGCTGCCACGTCCCACCGCGGCGCGATCCGACTTGGTGGAGGCCGGGGCTCCCCGGGCCACCGAAGCCGCGCAGCGCGGCCCAGCCCCGGCGCCTCCCGCACCGCCCGGGGACCCGATGCCGGGCGCGGGGGCGACGGCTCCCGCGGGGCGGCGCGGAGGGAACGGACACAGGAGCGGGAGGCCCGCGCCCGGCTCCCGCCGCCAACAGCTGCGGGGCTGCGGGCAGGTGCCGGGCCCGGGGAGGCTCTGCCCGCTCCCGCCCGCTCCTTCCCGCCCGCCGAGCGCGGCCGCTCCGCGCCAACTTCCCCTCCCTTCCCCAGCCGCGAAGTTGGCGCGGGCCGGGCCGGGGCTCGGGGCTGCGGGGCCCCGAGGGGGACAAAGCGCGGGGCTCGGCGGGCGGCGCTCACCTACGTCCGCGTTGCAGAAGGCCTGTTGCGGGTGGATGGGCGAGCAGCTGCAGGCGTCGGCCGGGCGGGCCCTGCCGAGCAGCAGCACGAGCAGCCAGGCCAGCAGGCTGGGCAGCGCGGCGGGCATGGTGCGGCGGGGCTGCAGGCTCAGCGACCCGGCCGAGAAACCCGCATCCACCGCCGGGCCCGCCCGAGCCGCCGCCACAAAGTTTGGGGCCGGCAGCCGCGGCGTTGCGGGCGCTGCTGTGGCCGCTGCTCCGCTGCCTTCTATGGAGCTGTTTTCTTCCTTCCCCGGCTGCCGCTCAGCCTCGCTTTTTAACGTGCCCCGGAGATTCGCTGCTCCTCCTCTGCATGGCGCAGGGCCAGCCCGGCTGCTCCCGCCCCTCCGCACGCTGCGGCTCCGCCATCGCCTCCCCCGGCCCGGCCCCCGCCCGCCCCGGTTCGCAGCTCCGGCTCCCGGCCTGCGCCGAGCGGAGCAGGGGGAAGGCAGCGATTCTGGGGGTGCCGAAGCGCGTTCTCCGCGCCTGCTTCCCCTCGCCCTCCCTCCCCTCCACGGGCCGCAGCCCCAACCCCACCTTATCCCAGAACCTGTTGCACGTCGCGGTACAGCCCCGGCCGCACCAGAACCCCCCAGGGCTGCTCGGTGCGATGGGGAGAGAAGCAGAAGGGTAAAAGTGAGAAAGGTTGAGACAAAGGTGGTTTAATAGATAAAGCAGAAGCCATGCGCAAGCGAAGGAAACGGGGGGGTTCATCCACCACTTCCCATCGCGGGCAGGTGTCCAACTATCCCCCACCCATCCCTCCATCGTACGTCAGTGACTTGGGAAGACAAATACCATCATTCCAAGCATCACCCCCTCGTTCTTCTCAGGCTTCATATGCTGAGGATGATGTCCCATGGTCTGGGATATCCCTGGGGTCAGTTGGGGTCAGCTGTCCCAGCTGTGTCCCCCCAAATCCCTGTGCACTCCCAGCCTGCCCAGTGGTGGGATGGCAGGAGGTGGAAAAGGCCTTGATGCTGTGCAAGTGCTGCTCAGTGATAATAAAAACATCCCTGTGTTACTGACACCATTACCGGCACAAACCTCAAAAATGGCCCCATGCAAACTACTGCAGGAAGAATCAACACAGCCCCAGCGAAACCAGTGCACTGTGAGCCTGTCACTGCACCGGGGTGCTGCCAGCATCACCAGACCTGTGCCCAGCACTGCATGGGGATGCTGCAGCGCTTCAGCGGTGCCTTTGGCCCTGCTCTGGCTCTGGGCAAGGACACGGCGTCTGACCCCACGGAGCCGGGTGCCGCTGGCACACACAGCAGAGCGAGCCACCACCCTGGCCACAGACCCTGCTGCTGAGCCAGCCACTCGCCGCAGAGCTGCCTGGCCATGGGTGCTCATGTGTGAGGGAGGTGCCAGAGCTGCTTGCCTCTGGGATCAGAAACAGCAGAACCACGGGCAGCCGAACCCAGGGCAAGCCCTGCCTGAGCCTGCAGGGAACCTGTGGGAGGCGACAGCTTCACGGCACTGCGATGTTGGATGGACCCCACGTCCCCAGCGTCCCTGTGGGGCACAGGGTCTGCAGGTGCTCCCAGTCACCAGGAGCCCTGCCTGCCCCGCTGCAGGCCCTGGTGCTGCTCTGAGGGCCTAGGGAGCACGGGCAGGCAGGGCAGAAAGTGGGAGGGTCTGGGGACACAGGGGGACAGTGTGGGGAGGCCCCACTTCCCATGAGGTGCAGAGGTCCTGGCCTGGCGGAACAAGAAGGAGTCCCCAGGACAGGAGCTGCCCCAGGGAACCAGATGGGTGCTGCAGTTGCCAGCCCCAGGTCAGGAGGATGAGCGAGGCCAGGAGCGAAGTGCAGACAAAGGTGAAGCAGCCAAGGTGGCCCATGGCCAGTTGGCACCTGGTGCCCTGGGCTCGTCACACAGCCCCAGAGGCCATGTGCCCAGGCTGGGGCCGGCTTTGCCCGTGATGCTGGGGCAGGCAGTGCCCAGGGCAGCAGCAGAGGGAGCGCAGCCGCTCAAGCCCAGCGGCTGAGTCACAGTCAGGGCTAAAGGAAAACACGTGTCCAGCCCCAGCCGCGCTGCTCACCCCACTCTGAGGTGCTGGACGCTGTAAACAGGGGGGGTCACAGCCAGCCTGGGCTCTCGGGAGGGCCCCGTCCCCACCAGCTCGCCCCTGCCAAACCAAGGCAGCACCGTGGAGCCGAACACCAACCCAGCTCATTGCTGGTGGCTGCTGGGAACCAGCGCTGGGGCTCAGCCAGGCCAAGTGCTGGGGTGGGAAGGGGGCCCCACGCCTGCAGATGCCCACGTTCCGCACTCTGGCCCCCGGGACCCGTGCAAGTTCCTCCTGGGGGCCGCTGGCTGCCGCCGTGATTTCACAATGCCGCTGGTGAGCTGCAAACACTGCCCAGCTGCTGCCGGCCCTGGGGAAGCTGCGCTGGTGCTCCCGGCTCTCTCCTGTGCCGAGCACAGCAGCCCTTGGAGCAGGCTTGGCTGTGGCTGCCAGCTCCCAGTGGCTCCTCTGAGGCCCTGGCTCTTCCCGGAGCCGGCAGCTCTGGAGGCACCTCTGGAGCCTGAGCCACGTCTGAGGGGACACACGGCCAGGCCCAGGCACCTCCTTGGGGAGCAAAGGAGCAGGGCTGTGCCCACAGCACACACGGCCACTGCTGGCCCCATCAGTCCCTTGAATCCACTGCACTGGTGCTTCCCCCCGCCCTGAGGCAGAGCCCATGTGCCAGAGCAGCAGTGCCAGGAGTGGCCCCGGTTTGTGGTGCTTGAGGCCACCAGAAGCCCTAGTGCCACTGGCAGTGTCGCAACTGCTGACTGCCCTCAGTGCTGGGCAGAGGAACACACCACAGCCCCCTCCCACATGAGAGCTTCCCCAGGCAACAGTGCCCAGGGCTGGCCCTCACCTCCCCAGCTAACAGGAAAAGGGAAGTGAAACGGCTTCTGGGGAAAGGCCTGATGAAATCCCCATGGCCATGACACTATGGATGGGCATTTCCTGCCCTGGCTGTATCACCCTGTATAGCCCTGTCCCCTCTGTCACCCTGTGACCCCACAAGGGTCAGGATCCAGCAAATGTGACTTGAGGAGTGCTCCTCCCCATAGGGACGCTTGTCCCTGTCTCCAGTACATTCCTGGTGAGGTGCTGAGGGCAAAGCTCAGAGGTTCCCCTGCAGGGTGGCCACAGCACTGGTTGCCAGCGTGGCTGGGCTGCAAGGCAGGGCCAGACCCACTCCCCCAGGTACCAGCACAGGCCCAGCACTCTGGCTGGACACCCCCCTCCTCCCCGGGAGCACCACACAGTGGGACAACGTAGCAGAGCTGGGGCTCAACCTTCTCCTTCCCTGCAAACCAGAGACACAGGGGGTTTCTGTCACAGTTAGGGGCTGGCACTAATGGCCTGACTGGGATCCAGCACATGGGGCCATGGCCGTGTCTGCTGGGCTGGGGCTAGCAGCTCCCTGTGGTGGCAGCCCCTTGCCACCAGGTGCCACTGCCGAAACACTCGCACCACGCCTGCTGCAGCAGAGCAATGCTTTACAGGAGACGCCACGGCCAAGTACAGAGCCGGGAGCAGAGCCTGGCGTCCCTCTGCTGAGCCCAGGGCTGCCTCCGGCCGGCAGTGGCCCCTTGCCCCTCCAGTCCAGTGCATCAGTCGTTAAATAAATTCGATGCCCTCGTATTTCACGCTCCCGATCCTGGTCTCGGGCAGGAGGAAGCGCCCATCCAGCGTGAAGGCCATGATGTAGCTGGCGATCTTGCCATTGTCCTCTTCCGACTTCAGTGCCACGATGATCTGGTCATCCGTGTCTGGGATGAACTTGAAGGAGGAGAAGCCGTGAGTGGGGACCACGTCCCCCACGCGTCCCACCGTCACGTCCCCGAAGTCCTGCGTGGAGCTCAGCAGCAGGTTGGTGCCGCGCCGCTCGTCCGCCTTCTCATTGTAGCGCTCGTGGCTGGCGCGGCGCGGCAGAAAGAACCAGCGCTGCAGCGTGTCGCTCCAGGACACCGACTCATGGATCAGGTAACCTGCAGCAGGGAGCAGCGGCTCATGGCGGGGGGCACCTGCCGGGCTCCGAAGGACGTCACAACCCCATGCACGCAACCACCATGAACATTTCCACCTCCTCCTGCCCACTGCCCATGCAGGAGTCCCCCCAGTCCCTCCCAGAGTGGGACAGGGGCACCACAGCAACGGCCTCCTCTGCCCTGGGGCCTGGCTGCCAGGCACAGTGCTGCTGAGCCACCCTCCAGCTGCTTGTGCCAGACAGGGAAGAAAAGCCCTGGGCAGGCTTTTCCTCTGTTCCCATGAGGACAAGGGGAGGGCTTTGGCCTCCATCATCCTTCAAACCTCACAGCGGTCCCAGTATTGATGGGGAGGGAGGCCCCAGCCCTGGAGGGTGTGGGACAGGGGATGGCAGGAGGGAGCTTTGCTCAGTACCTGGGGGTCGGATGCCTGCTGCAGCCCTCAGCGCGTTGTAGTTTGCCACCCAGTTTTCATGGCCCACATCGCCCTTGTAGCCAACAACCTTCACCCACTCGGGGTTCTCGTTCACCACCTCCCCTGTCGTCGTGGTCCACTCCTTGCCCAGTCCCCCCACGTAGAGGTGCTCGTCCTTCACTGCCAGCCACTCTGCCTTGAAGCCTGCAGTGGAGAGAACAGCATGAGCTGGGGCTCAGGCAGCCCATGGACATGGGACTGAGGCTCACCCCCCTGAACACCACATCAGACAGCTCAGTGCTGGGCAGAGCCTTTCCCCATGCAGCCAGCAGGTCCCCAGGCAGGAGTTGCCCCCGAGGCACACAAAAAGCGCACCCGCCCCAGAAAGCTTCAAAGAGCCAAACTGTTGTGTGCCTGCAGGATGGGACGGGATGGAGGAGCTCACCTTTCCCCACTGTGCCATCCCCATCTGGGAGGATCACCCAGGGCACCACCTTGTTGCCCTCAATCTGATAAACCACTCCTGTCCGGTCATCCACGGCGTACAGCTTCCCGTTGAAGACAACCAGCTCGGAGAGCTCCATGCCCCTGCCCTTCTCAGCCAGGTGGGACTGCAGCATGCTCTCGTCTTTGTCCCACTCCACTGTGACGCTGTCCCCGCTGTCTGACAGCACCAGGTAGCCCTTCTTCAGGTAACTGAACCAGGTGTGCTCCTCAGAGCCCCGGGACTGTGTGTCCAGATCCGCGATGACTCCGATGCGGTAGCGCACACCCTCAGGGTTCCTCTGGGGGGGGGACAGTGGGTAGGTGTCATTGTAGCGGTCCCCTGCCTGCAGGCTGAGCTGCCGGTTGTGAGGATTGGGCGGACCATGGCGTGCTGGGGAGGACCGGTGCAGGCAGAAGAGCAGCAGCACAAACCCCACGCAGGCTGACGACAGCACGATGGCCCTCCAGCGGAGTCGGAAGCGGGGGTCAGCAGCCTTGGTCATGGACGCGAGGACAGGCAGACCACCAACGCTGATCCGGAGGGGGCTCATAGACTCATCGCAGGGCGGGACGGGCATCAGACTGCGGGCCAGGAGAACCTGGTGAGAGGAAGGGAAGAAGCAGATCAGAGAGCTGGAGCCTGGCACTGCACGGAGCTTGGGGGAAGCAGAGCACAGCCATGAGGGAGCAGCGAGGGGCCTCATCCCCTCTCCTCAACATGAGAAGCTGCCGCCACCTCACACAGGGAAGAGCCAGCACGGCAAGGGGCTGCTTTGCTGCTGGAGCCACTCTCAACCCCTTCTCACCTCACTTCAGCCCTGCTCTGCAGCTCCGGAGCGGGGCAAGCCCTGGCGTGTTGGCAGATGCCCATGGCCTGCTCAGCACCTCCACCTGCCCCAGCTCCACCGCAGCCCAGGCAGGGAGCCGAGGCCACGCCAAGCCCTGAGACCTGTGCTGAGGTGCCCTGCTGAGCAATGTCCCTGCACAGCCCCGGCAGGAAGCAGGGTCCTCTGTGGCACTGAGGCCACCCCGCCCGGTCCAGCTCCCACAGCCCCCGGGAACCAGCCCCACAGGGACACCGGGAGATACGTGGCAGCTCCACCCACACAGGATGCCAGGGCGTGAGCAGGAAGCGAAGCACCCGGGTACAAGGGACAAATACCCCGACCTGCCCAGCCTTAAAGTCACAGCAGCCCCTGCTGTCCCCCTGCCCGTGGTCACAGCGTAACCTCGGGCACGACTCGTGTGCGGGTGCCTTCAGCCCACACCCCGCTGTGCCCACCCGCAGTGCCCAGGCATCAGCAGCTCCTCTCCCTGCCCTTTCTCTCTGTGCAGTGCAGGGGACGTGGCAGCTCACGGAGCTCCTGCAGATGCGCCGGAAGCCACCCCATCATCACCTGGGCCATGCAGCCCAGGGCAAGGACCCCCAGCCCGCGGCAGCACCCCCAAGGAGGGGCCCACAGCTGCCAGCCCAGGGCTGTCCCCAAGGGCCCGTCACCGCCGTGGTGGGGCTCCGGGCCTGGCGCTGGGCACGGGCTGTGCCGCGGGGCTCTCAATGCGCCTTTCAGCAGCCCGAGATGCGAACAGAGGCTGCATTGAGCGCAGGGGCCGAGCCCCGGACAGGCGGGAGAGCTCCCGGCCGCGGGAGAGCCGGACGGGAGCGGGACGAACCCTGCGGGGACGGAGCAATCCCGGTCCCACTGCCCGGTGCGCTGGCCCCATCCCAGCACCTGCCCTGGGCACGGACACGGGATCCCCGACCCCACGGGCGTGGACACGGGTCCCCAGGCCTCCCCGGCCACGGACACCGGCACCTCCGGGCCCCACAGGCATGGACTCGGGAGCCCTGAGCCACCTCCCCGGGCGAGCTGCCGGGAGAACGGTGCAGAGCCCGGCCCGAGCGGGGCCTTGCCGGCCACCGCGCCCCTCCGCCGCAGGGCACAGCCTGGGGACACCGATGCGCCCACCCGAGCTCAGGGCGGCCCAGCTCGGCGGGGCCCCGGCCCCGCTCCAAGCCCCTCGCCCCCCGCGGTCCCAGCTCACCGCGGACCCGCCCGCGCACAGCCGCTGCAGCCACTGCTCCCGCCACCGCCTACAGCTCCCGGCAGGCCCCGCGCGCCACGGCAGCCGGCAGCTGCCAAACCCCCGCGGCAGAGCGAGAACTACGACTCCCAGCAGGCCCCGCGCGGCACTGCCCACCCCCTCCCCGTCCTCCCGGCCGCGGGGCTGCTGGGAGCTGCAGTCCGCCCCGTGCCCGAGCCGGGGCTCCTGCTGCCCAGCCCCGGGTGTGTCCAAAGCGGGTGCCCGGCGGGCGGAACCCCGCTGCAGTCCGCGGTGCACCCGGGCACCAGCCCGCAGTTCCTGCGGCCGCGCCCCGTGTCTCCCGGTGCCGGGCTGCGGGGACGAGCCCGGGACACCCCTGTGTACCCGTTGTCCGCGGCCGTCCGCAAAGGGCCGGTTCCCGGCTGGGGCTGGGCGAGCCTCCGTGCCCCCAGGGCTGGGAAGCGGCAGGTGGGTGTTCCGGAGTGGGGCAGGGTCCTGCCCCGCAGAGCAGCCCCCATGCCGCCCCCGTCCCCTGCCCTCGGACCAGCGCCGGTCGTGGCTGCGAGCCCGGTGCTGCCAGGAGCGCACATGGTTAACGCGGCTGGCGAGGGAGGGCTGCGCGCCCCGTTCCGCTCCTCCCGTCCCATCTTGTCCCATCCTGTCCCGTCCCGCTCCTCGCCGCCGCCTCCGCTCTCCAGAAAGTGCATTTCCGCCCGGGCCGAAGGAGGAAACGGGGCCGCGGGAGCGGGAGGCAGCCGAGCCGCGGGGCGGTGCGGGGGGATGCTCTAGGGAAGGGACGGCAGCGCCGGGAGGAGCAGCCCTGCCCCGGAGGTAGGTTGGCGGCAGGCTCGGGGGGACCCTGCAGGCTGGGGACCAGCGCCCTACCTCGCTGTACCCATCTGCGGTACCACGCAGGAGGCGGCTCTGCCTCGCCAGGCCCATGGGTGCTCCAGGGCACGTCCAGAACCCCTCAAGTCCGGTCAGTCGAGCTAAGAGGTGGTGGGGACCACAGGGACCATCCTGTGGGGGCACAGGCCGACCCACAGCACCATGTACCCCAAAAACCCATCCCCATGAGCAGTCAAACCCATGGCTGAGCAGCCCCAGGCATGCCAAGGGGGACACGGTGGGTGCAAGGTGCACTCAAGCACGTATCACAGGTGCTGTGGGTGCTGGAGGGTCACAACCACGCCACGGTCCTTCACTCCCACCCTCCTGCCTGCTGGGCCTGCACTGCTGCAACGTGCAAACGGCTCTGCAACCATTCCAGCTGCTGCAGCAGAAGGCGGGGGGTGAACCCCAGCAACACAACCCCAGACGTGTCCCGGCTCTGCTGCTGGGGCCTGGGGAGGGTGAGGTGAGCACCCAGGGCCCGCTGAGCCCTTCATCCCTCTCCCGGGTTTGCTCTTGTTTCATCCCGGTCCTTATGGCTGCCTGCAATGTATTTCAGGATGTTTTGATTTGCAGTCCCTGAATTTAAATCCTCCGAACTGACCCTGGAGATCATCCAACCCCAGCAGGAAAACCTGTCCCTCCCGCAGGACCGGGTATGCCGGTGCAGGCAGCTTCTGCCCCACGTGCCTGCGAGGTGCAGAGGACCCCTGCACGCTTCTGGTGACTGCACCATGGCCATGATGGCACTGTGCCAGTCCCATACACACACAGCACGGCTGCCTCCATTTCCAGCCCTGTGGCAGTCTGGGAAGCTGCTTTTCTTGGCGGGAATTTCCTGGTGACAGATTTCTCCTTGTGGAGCAGTTCCCTGCAAAGCTGCGTTTCCCCCAGGGTTGAGCCTGCTTTGGGTCCCAGGGGAATGTGTTTTGATGGTCCCAGAGCTGAGGGAGGGTCACAGGCTGCTTGCCACGGTCTCTCGCATGTGGCTGGCACAGCTGGAGGCCAAGCGGGGTAAAGAGAGCCAGGGCTCAGGCTGTGCAGGATGGTATCTGCTCACAAGCCCCCGACTGCCCCCTCTGTGCTTCTGTCCATGGATCTGCTTCTCCCCTGCCCGCAGAGCTGAGCACGGGCAGGCACCAGGCCAGGGAAGACGAGGTGCCAGGACACCCATGCGTGGTACCCACAGCCCTGCTGTCCTCATACCCAGCAGCAGGACACCAGCCAGGATGAGAGAGAGGTGGTGGGCACACAGGCACCTGGGAAGCATGTGAGGGGACAGGCCCTTCGCAGGGGGTGCGAGCAGTGGGAAAGCCCTTTGGAGCCTTTCCCCATCCCTCTGCCTCTTCCCAGCCCCAGTGCAGGTGACTCATAGGCCTGGCATCCATCCTGGCCTCGGACGCCCTCCACACCCACTGCTGGAGCGTGCCGGCTCCCCACACACCTGGGGACATCAGTAACCCCTGCCCTGCGGCTGCCAGCCTGGCTATTACTGACCGGCGACCCTGGTGCTCACAGAGCGGGTGCTCACCCAAACAGCAGGATCCTTCCCAAGGCCCTGGCCCATCCCCAGAGCACAGGCTGTACTGTGCAGGGCCCTCTGCCCGGCCGGTTGCACCCTGCCACTGCCTCAGATGCCAACCGGCTGCGCAGTGCCCCATGGTGCTTGGCCATGGCTGTCCTGGCGCCTTTGGGGCTGCAGGGTGAGGTGCTGGTGCTAGGAGCGGATGCGGCTGTGATAAGGCAGGGAAGGGCAAGGGAGCTGCCGGGGTTGGGCCACGGTGCCAGCGGCTACTGGTAAATACAAATATTAGTTCTGGCCCCATGCAGGATGTGGGCTCCCAGGGAGGTTTCTCCCCGTGTGGGCCAGCTCCCAGCCCACACCCACGTCTACAGAGAAGTGGGTCTTATCTCTGCAGCCCTCAGAGCAAGGGCTGGCAGGTCCTGGGGCACAGGAGCCCCTTTCATAGGGTCTGTGCAGCCTGTGCTGCGGACACCCTTGCACGCTGTGGGGCAGGAGGGATGCGGCACCCTCCCTGGGGTTGGGGTGCCACACACAGTCAGGGCTGCACCCGACAGTCTCCCATGCCATTTGGAGCTGCCTGTAGCTTTTATTTCGGATGCTGACACTCCACGTTGCTGCTCTCGGGCATTCATGGGAGGCATCTGAAGCCAGGCTGGGGAGGAGCAGCAGCGCTTGGACAGTCAGACAGGGGCTGCTGCTCTGCTGCACCCTTGGCTTCCCAGGTAATTCCCTCTTCTGTGCATGCCAGGGGCTGCATGGCCTCATGTCTCAGCCTGTTTGCGAGCCCAGAGCCCCTGCACTGCCCAAACATGGGTCTCCCACGTGCTCACTGGAGCATCACAGAGGTACACGGCCCAGCTAATGCAGCTATTTAGGTACAGATGGTCCCTGCAGCTGCAAGGGATGCAGTGACTGCGCTGCAGGCTCTGCTGGGGAGGAGGCTGCTGGAGAGCAGTGTTTTGGGGCTGGAAGGGCAGCTGTGCCCTGCCTGGGGCTGCACCATCCTCTGGGTTCTGTGCTGGGACAGAGCAGGGCATAGCCAGGGCCAGGCATCCCTGCAGCATCCCTCACTGGCCCCTGAGCCGGCCTTGGCACCTCACAGGGCTCTGCCATGGAGGGGCTCTGGGTGCCTGGTGTCCTGCTGCTTTCCTGCCTGCTGCTGCCCTCCCCTGTGGGCAGCCAGACCAGACCCAGCCCTGACCGGCGTTTGGAGATGGACCCCACAGAGGCACCGTCCCAGCACCATGCTGCCAGGTGAGGGGATCCCAGGGGAAGGGCGTTTGGCAGTGGGGCCCATGGCAGTCCTGGCACTGCAAAGGGCCTCAGCACCCCATAGCTCCCCACTGCTCTTTGCTTTCTGCCCTCCACAGGGCCATGCAGGAGCAGCAGGTCAGCAGTGCCCAGGAGATGCCCCTGCAGCGCCGCTGCGTTCACTGCTGTGAGCAGCCCAACCAGCGCTTTTACCATCCCCAGTACCAGCCCCTGCCTCAGATCAACGTGACCATCCTGAAAGGTGAGGGCTGCTGGCAACCCCCCCACTGCTGCACCACTGCCCACAGCCAAATCTGCCACCCAGGCATTCCATGCTAGGGGGTACCACCAGCCTGGCCTGGCAGCACCATCGCAGTGCAGAGCTGGGCTCCCAGTGCTGGCCTCGCACAAACTGGGGGCAAGAAGTTTGCTCTGGTGCCCAGGGAGGGGGTTGGGGGGTCCCTGCTGCCCCCGTCCCTTTCTGTCACACAAAGGCTCTGGGTTTAGGTGTGCCGCTAACCTCTGAACACGCACCCGTCCCTCCTGCTTTGGCCAGGTGAGAAGGGGGACCGCGGCGAGCGAGGCGTGCAGGGCAAGTTTGGCAAGACAGGGGTGGCCGGCAGCAGGGGCCACGCAGGGCCCAAGGGCCAGAAGGGCAGCATGGGCGCCCCAGGAGAGCGATGCAAGAGCCACTACGCTGCCTTCTCGGTGGGCCGCAAGAAACCCCTGCACAGCAATGACTACTACCAGACCCTCATCTTCGACACGGAGTTCGTCAACCTCTATGACCACTTCAGCATGTTCACGGGCAAGTTTTACTGCTACGTCCCTGGGATCTACTACTTCAGCCTCAACGTGCACACCTGGAACCAGAAGGAGACGTACCTGCACATCATGCGCAACGGGGTGGAGGTGGTGATCCTCTATGCCCAGGTGAGCGACCGCAGCATCATGCAGAGCCAAAGCATCATGCTGGATCTGCAGGAGCAGGACGAGGTCTGGGTGCGGCTCTACAAGGGTGAGCGTGAGAACGCAGTCTTCAGTGACGAGTACGACACCTACATCACCTTCAGCGGCCACCTCATCAAGTACAGTGGGGACCCCTGAGCGCTCGGGGGCCCCCTGCTCCTCCTGCCCTGGGGCAGGTGTCCGAGGAGCCCCTGCCATCCCTCACCCTGGGCATGCCACTGCTGTTAGCTGTTTGCCCATACACGTGCCACTACCCCCAGCGTGTGAACATCCCCACCGCAGCTCCTTGAGGCCCATCGAAGGAACCTCGAGGAGGCAGAGCCGTTTCCAGCCTCTGCTGCACTGGAGAGTCAGGAGGCAGCTGTACACTGGGTGCAGGCAGGGAGCTCATCCCCTCCTGTGCCTGCTCCAGAGCTGGGTTTGCTGGGACAGAGCCTGAGCTGACACCAGCAGAACGGGTTTGACTGCTGGTGAGGCAGACGTGCACCGTGTTCCTCCCTTGCTCCCTTGTACTGTGCCCCGCTCTGCAGGCATCTAATCCTGGAAGAGGGCAGAGGGTGCTCAGCACCCAGCAGGGAAGGCAATAAAACCACTAAGGGCCCCCTTCCTTTCCACAGAGCTGGGTCCCAGCCACGTGGACGTTGGGCACCCTCTGAGCTAACGCTTCCCCCATGCAGATTGCAGCAGTGCCCCTCCACAAGCCCCATCACAGCTCCTCCCACCGCGGCCTCTGCTTGGTACCAGCACTGCTGGGGGGTGCTGGCTCCCCGGGCAGCCCTGGGTGCAGGGCCTTTGGCCTGAGCCGCTTCCTCTTCAGTTATGTTATCTGCTGCCCAGACTTTGTATTGCTGCAGGTGCAGGAGCAGAGTAGGGCCCAGGGCAGCATCCTGCCCCCCTCCCTCTGTACAGCTTGAAACATTAAACACCCCATCATTTCCAGTTCTACTCACACTTTCTGTGTGTCCTCTTGCTTTGCATGTGGAGGCTGCAAGCGGCTCAGGGCAAATTCCTGCTCCCACAGTGCAGGGGCACCCTGAGAGTCATGGGCTGTCCTGGTGCTGTGAACAGGAAGGGCAGAGCATCCCTGGAGAGCCAGGGTGGCCTGAGCCAGGCTCCGAAGTGCAGCAGCTCTCTGAGGGCTGGGAGCTGAGCACAGTAACAGACCCATGAGCAGGGGAAGCTGGGGGTGATGGTTGGGTTTACCAAGAGTCTCAATGACCTGTGAAGTACCTGGTGATGAGGCAGGTCTGAAGGCAAGCTGGGGCCAGGGGCTGGATCTGTGGGTCTGTGTTGGGCAGAGCAGAGCTGCAGCTGAAGACCACCATGCTCCTGTCACAGCAGGGGAAAGAAGAAATGCTCAGGGCTGAGCTTAAATAGTGCTCCAGCCCCGGGGCGGGTGGTGAGTGGGGTCCAGGTGAGGCTGGTCATTCCATCAAGGGCTGCTGGTGCCTCAGCCCCAGTGCTGCTGGCCCTGTGGGGCTGGCAGAGACCCTGCTCATGGCCCAGCCCCATGGCGGGGGCAAAGCCCCACAGCATTAGTAGGCCCCCGGCAGGGCTGGTGCTGCTGGTACTGCTGGCACACGGCAGGAGGGGAGGGAAAGGCTGCCTCAGGGGATGGCCACCAGCAGAGGTACCAGCCCTGTTCCAGCCTGTGCAGTGGGACTCGCTCTAGGATAAATGTCGCACCCTGGGATAGGTATCTCATCCCAGGACACAGTACATCTGCGGACACGCGATCCTGTTCCAGCACACACAGCCCATATCGGGACACATGTCCCCTGCCAGCACACACGCTCTGTTCTGGGACGCGTGGCCCTGCCCGCAGGACAAACAGCCCAGCCCGGCACGCATGGCGCACCCTGGGACACAAGCCCTGCCCGCACACCCCCATACCCGGACACAAGCCCTGCCTGCACACCCCCGTACCGGGACACAAGCCCTGCCCGCACACCCCCATACCCGGACACAAGCCCTGCCCGCACACCCCCATACCCGGACACAAGCCCTGCCCGCACACCCCCATACCCGGACACAAGCCCTGCCCGCACACCCCCGTACCGGACACAAGCCCTGCGCACACCCCCACCCCACAAAGCCCGCCGCACACCCCGACGGGACAAGCGGCACACCCCCATACCGGGACACAAGCCCTGCCCGCACACCCCCATACCGGGACACAAGCCCTGCCCGCACACCCCCATACCCGGACACAAGCCCTGCCCGCACACCCCCGTACCGGGACACAAGCCCTGCCCGCACACCCCCATACCCGGACACAAGCCCTGCCCGCACACCCCCATACCCGGACACAAGCCCTGCCCGCACACCCCCATACCCGGACACAAGCCCTGCCCGCACACCCCCATACCCGGACACAAGCCCTGCCCGCACACCCCCATACCCGGACACAAGCCCTGCCCGCACACCCCCATACCCGGACACAAGCCCTGCCCGCACACCCCCATACCCGGACACAAGCCCTGCCCGCACACCCCCGTACCCGGACACAAGCCCTGCCCGCACACCCCCGTACCCGGACACAAGCCCTGCCCGCACACCCCCATACCCGGACACAAGCCCCATCGCGGGCCACTCGCTCCACCCCGGGACAGGGCTGGGCGCTGGGGCCGGGGGCGGGCGGAGCTCCTTCGGCCGCGCCTCCGGCAGAGCGGGGCCGGGCGGCAGCGGCGGCAGCAGCGGCAGGGCTATGGCGGAGGCGCAGGACGGGCCCGGGCGGCGCGGAAAGAGGCCGGGGGACGGGGCGGAGGAGCCGGGCGAGGAGGAGCGGTCCGGGCGGCGGCGGCGGAGGTGCGGGGGGGGGTCGGGCCAGGGCTCGGCGCTGGGCTCGGGGCTGGGACCGAGCTCCGGGCTGGGCTCGGCGGGCGCTGGCCGCGGTGCTGGCCCGGCCCGGCCCGGCCCGGCGGTGGCTCTGGCGCTGCCCGTCCCTCACCTCCTGCCCGGGCAGCTTCCAGCCGGCGGCGGAGTCCCGGGGAACCACGGTCCTGCACGATACCATCAGCACCCGCCCGCAGCCCCTGCCAGGTGAGGGAGCAGCCCTGATCCGCGCTGCCGGTGCCGGTACCGGTACCGAGCCGCCCGGGCAGCGCTTCCCGCTGACCCTGTCCTCTGCCCCCCCGCCCCAGCGAGGCACTTTGACACCAAGACAACAGAGCCTGTCAGCTTCTTCTTGTCTGGCCTGGAGGAGCTGCTGTCCTGGCAGCCCGCTGGCAACGACGACTTCAACGTGTGCACTGTGCAGCTGGCCAAGCGCCAGCCCCCGCTCCACAGCAAGAGGCCCCGGACGCTGGTGTGCCATGACATGCGTGGCGGGTACCTGGAGGACAGGTACGTGCTGGGTGCGGGGCATGTGGCAGCGAGGCCCAACACCGCAAACCTGCTCTGTTTCTGCGTGATTTGTTTGCCCCGGGCAGGGCCGGAGGGGTCTGGGGATGGAGCACCGTGACCCTGCTCAGGCCAGCCCCAGCTGGGGTCTGCGGGGTAACTCAGTGCTCCAGCTCTGCGCAGCTCCTGGGCTGGGAGTCAGGCTCCTGCCCAGCCCTGCAGCCATTGCCAGCGTCCTTCTCACCATGCCCAAGACTCCTCTCGCTGCCTGCAGGTTCATCCAGGGTTCAGCCACAAGCAACCCCTACGTCTTCTACCACTGGCGGTACATCGACATCTTCGTCTACTTCAGCCACCACACTGTCACCATCCCACCCGTGTGCTGGACCAATGCGGCGCACCGGAATGGCGTCCTGGTGCTGGGTGAGGCAGGGCCGGCTGCAGGGCTGGAAGCTGCAGGATGAGGCCCGGGCATGCAGTGACTTTGCTGAGGTGCCTCAGTGGCTGACCCTGGTCTCACCATGTCCCCAGGCACGTTCATCACGGAGTGGACGGACGGGGAGAAGCTGTGTGAGTCGTTCCTGGCTGGTGGGGAAGAGGCATCCCGTGCTGTGAGCGAGCAGCTGGCGCGCATTGCCCAGCACTACCGCTTCGATGGCTGGCTGGTCAACATGGAGAACACGCTGAGTGTGAGCTGCAGTCCCCGGCCCACCCCCAGCGCCCTGCTGGTCTCACTGCCCCACGCTGACCTGGCTCTGCTCTCTCCCGCAGGCAGCAGCGGTGAAGAACCTGCCCCCCTTCCTGCGGCACCTGACCGCACAGGTCCACAGCGCCGTGCCTGGGGGCCTGGTGATCTGGTATGACAGTGTCCTGCAGAACGGCACATTGAAGTGGCAGAATGAGCTCAACCAGGACAATAGGTGAGGCTGGGCCCTGCCCCACCACCTTATCTGAGTGGAACTGACACTGGGTAGGGGCCTGAGCCCACCCCAAACCCAGGGCGCAGCACATGGCCTGCACAGCCCCTGGAGGGGCGGTCTGCAGGAACTTGCACTGACCCTCGTCCACAGGGTGTTCTTTGATGCTTGTGATGGGCTGTTCACCAACTACAACTGGAAGGAAGAGCACCTGGAGCGCACGCGCGCGCTAGCCGGCCTGCGCCAAACTGATGTCTATGTTGGCATCGATGTCTTTGCCCGTGGTGATGTGATCAGTGGTGGCTTTGACACCAACAAGGTGGGCGTGCAGGGACCCTCTGCCTCCCGCAGTGCAGGGCTGCCTCTGCCACGCTGCTCACTGCTTGTCCCTGCAGTCGCTGCGCCTGATCCGCCAGCACGGCCTCTCCGCTGCCATCTTCGCTCCCGGCTGGGTCTACGAGCACCTGGGAGAAGAAAACTTCCTGCACAATGAGAACAAGTGAGGGAGGCTCAGAGCTGGGGGGAGGAGAGGGGAGATGGGGCCAGAGCACTCCGGGATGCAGGGCAGTGGGGTGGGGCTGCAGGAGACCATGGCTGCTGCCCAGGATGTGCTGGTGAGGCCGTGCTGGGGCAGTGGCCGTAGCTGGCAGTCTCTGCTCTGATCCATGCCTTTCCCTCCAGGTTCTGGGCCTTGCTGGCTGAGTACCTGCTCACACACAGTGTCTGCACTCTGCCGCTCGCCACCTCCTTCAGCCTGGGCATGGGCACCAGCAGGTTCCTGGAGGGGAAGGTGGGTGCAGGGTGATCGTTTGGCTCCAGCTGGGCAGGGGTGGGCGGTGCAGGGGTGTCCCTTCTCCCGGCTCCCCCCCCGGCCCAGCTCGCCCTGTCCTGCAGGTGGAAGAGGCCGGGCCCTGGTATGACCTGAGTGCACAGGAGGTGCAGCCCCTCTACCCGGAGCACGAAGGCAGGCTGAGCACAAGCTGCTGCCTGCAGGATGCCTGGTGCGGTGGCAGCTCCCTGAGGCTGCAGGGGATCATCCCTGCCGGCGAGGAGCATGTGGCCATCCGGTGAGCTGCGGGTGAAGGCCCTCATCGCCTTCTCAGTGCTGGGCTGGCATGGCATGCTGCACGTGGGAGCGTGCTGCAGGGCTCTGCCCGCACTGCCCAGCAGACCTAACCAGATGCATCTTCTCTGTCTCTCTCCTCTCT